GTGCTCTGCTTTAGTTATTTGTGCTGTGCGTGTTCGTGTTTCGTATAAGTGAACCGAGAGAGACAGAGATAGCGAGAGAGAGAGAGAGAGAGAACAATTCAGCTGTTAGCTACGATTGATGACTGACGAGCGAACATCATACATACATACATATAACTGATAGATATCTATGTACATATACATAGAATATAAATTGAAATATACATAATTTGTCTTGCAAAATACTTAAGCGTCAATTATACAAATGATTCACGCTACTTAAGAATGGACTTCGAATAGACTTCAGCATAATAAATCTGCAATGAACATATCTCAGATCTTGTGCCCACTTATAGTTTAAATAAATCTCAATTTGTGCAGTAATTAAGCAAAATGTTGTCGCAGTTGTCTCTGGCGATGACCCGGCAATAAACACTCATACATACAAACAAGTACATACATACATATATTTATCTAGACAAAGACACGCAGCAACTACTGTGGACAGAGACAAATACACAAGAAACAACAATTTTTTAATTGTTTTAAAAAATTTGCGTAAACTAAATGAAGCAATCGCTTAAGCACTGACAATGAAACACAAATAAAAACACAAAAGAAAAAAAATATTAAAATTATAATAAAAATAATGCATTAAAATGTAGTTAAACATTTATATGAACGAGCGAATAAACTATAAAAAATTAAAATAAAATTTAATAAAAACAAAGTAAGGCGAATTTAAAGAAATACGACTGCACGTGTAACTGTGCGTGTGATAGTGTGTAAGTGTGTGCCTGTGATAGTGTGTGTGAGTGATTCGATAAGGTCTGTCAAGTCATGACCTTAAGTGCGTTGTGTGTGGATGTGGACCAATGAACGCAATGAATCTTACAGAGCACAACAAACCGGGCTAAAGAAGCCCAAGCAACAACAACAACAACAACAACAACATAAACAACATCATCAACAACAACGGCAACAACAGCTAGTACAACAACATTTACAACTACAATAAAACATAACCAGCCCAGAGCTTGCAATTATTTATGAGCACATGTGTGTAATGCATGTGTATCTATCTATGTAAGTATGTAATTTCGCAGATACTCTTTTTTTTTTTCAGTACGTAAATTCGTCATCTCGTTTCACTCGTCGTCTATCCGTGTTTCTGTCTGTGTGCGTAATTTGAGGTAGCTACCAGATGTTATTGATATGGCCAAGATATATTTAGATGTATGTGTGTGCATGTAGCTGCAGCCAAGCAAACTCTCTAGGCCGCGGTTAGCTAACCAATTTGACGTATTGCTGCTCTGACTGGGATTTCTACAGGCCGATTTTGAAACAGCGCCAACTGCGGCTCAAAGAGTTTGCATACATATAATAAAATGCTTTGTTTCAATTGAGATTAGGATGAGTAATGTAAGCTAACTGATTAAATGCAATTGCAAATGAATGCCAAAAAAAAAGGGGAAAAGACAAAACGAAATGTAATGGAAAATTTATGAAAAATGTTAAAAGTTTTTATGCCATGAATATTTGAAAACCATAAATTGAAAATATTAGTTGAAGATCTTTTATGAATTCCAATGAATTGACTAAATATATATGAAACAGAGATCAAGTATCTGAGAATTCTTTGTTTTCTAATCTAAGCATAAAGTGGGCTATATAAGGAAATTTATAAGCTATAAAGAATTTTCACTAAATATATATATATTCTTAACAAGCTGAGGCGATATGGTCATATCCGTCCGTAATTTCTAGAATGATGGGTAAATTATCAACAGGGTTCTGGATATCCTCTAGCCGAGAAGACTCGACTGGAGCACTCTTACTTGTTTTACTTATCAGGTATCTTGAGTTTTGTATGATACAGCACTACTATTTAAATGAACACACTTGTATGATTAGGTCTGCCCTGTAGGATAACCTACATGAATTAATTTAAGTGCCATACAATACTATATACCCCATTTTCTTAAAAGTGATCTTTACCCCAATCTTGTTTTGAGCATATGTCGTACAATTTATGGAGAACAAAGGTTTTGACATAGTTTAAGCACATCGTAAATGTTTAATTTTATAATTAAGTAATTTAAAAAAACGAGAGTCTTCTAAAAAAATATTTAACTAGGAATTGAATCTAAATATTTCTTGACTAATTTATATATATATTTATATAAGTATATTATATTATAGTATGTTTATTTATATAAATCTTTTTTATTTCCGACTCTTTAGTCTGTTTTAAATGTTAAGTAACTTCTTCAACTACCAAAAAAAAAAAAAAAATACATTTTTAAAGCAGTGTCATGATGTTAAAGGCGATCACCTCCATCACCTGCGAGTCAGTTTAGCTGACCAGTGTTGGTCAACGGCAACAAATTGCCTCAGCTTTGCCACAAAGTCTCTAATGGATGTGGCAAGCGCTGTGAGTGGCCTCTCTTGTCGTTAAATTGGCATTAAGTGGACAGTGGATTGAAAGCCCCAAAACACATATGGCGAGACTCGCCTGTCTGTCTATTGATATTTTACAAGATATTGACAATTTTAAGGTGCGTTCGATTGAAGCATACACACATACATAGGTATGTACCCACAATTGCACATAAGCATATGTATGTACATAAACATATGCATGTGAGTGTGTGTGCGTGTTTGTGTTTCTATCAGGTGTACTTACCTTTCTGTTGCGAATCAGCTTGGCTAGATCGACGGCAGGTATCTCCAGCAGGTGACTGCGTATGGGCGGCAGCTTGCGTCGAATCACCTTGATGTTGGTGTAGCGGCTGTAGGGCACTACAAACCAGCTGAAGACAATCATGGCCGAGCGCAGGAAACGGCGCATGATGTACCCCAGGATCCTGGAACACAGTAGGACAGCAATTTTGGCGGCTTTGCGTTAAACGGCTTCAAAGCGAAATTATTTCAAATTCGAGTATATATATATATATATATATCTAGATATCTAGATGTATATATTAGTATATATAGATGGTATCCAATAGATACAAGCGAACAGGTTGGCCAACAAGCAAAAGGATTGTGCAATATGCAGCTGGTCTGCAATTGCATCGGCTGCGACTGCAACTGCAACTGCAACTACGACGACGGCAGCGACGGCAACGGCGACGGCGACGTTGGCAGTGACTGCGACGGCTGCTGCGATTTGCGCTTGCACAACTCAACACACGACTCGAACTCGAATTCGAATTCGCTGTTTTGGCTCGAAAACTGGCGATGGCTTAATACTTTATTTTTTCGTTTTTACTATTTTTCTCTATTTTTGGTCAGTTGGCTAATAGCGGTTGGCAAAAAACTTTCTTGAGCGCGACTGCATCTCAATTTAGTTGCGGCAGCGATTGCATTTATCTAACCGAATTCGGATGCGCTGCAAACGCATGCGTAACGTATCACTGGCTTTCATTTTGCTACACTATATTTTTGGTTGTGTTTTGTTTTGATTTGTGTTTTGTTTTGTTTTGTTTCTGTTATTGTCAGATTTATTACATTTGTAACCGATCGCAGCGAATTGAAACGAACGAACGAACGAACCGATGCGAACGACGCGCGCTAAGCAAATAAATGAGCATCCAGCGCAGCGCATAACATTTAAAGCTCTGCTTGGCTCGTTCGTAAGCTGCGCTCACACTCGCTTAGCCGAAAGCTCGAACCGGTTCGTCTGCTGTGTGACGCTCTCTCTTCAAACTGCATCCGCTCTTAGGTTCAGCTTTCTAGTTTTTTTTGTGAATCCCATTCGTTCTGCGGAAATGCACTCAGCGAAAACTGAAAGAACTAAAAGCGATTTCTGTTGCATCTTAAATAAATGGAATGAAACAATACTGTAAACTAGATGTAAGCTTGTTACCTATGCAATTTTCTTAGAATTTCATGTCATTAGTAATGCAATTTAATTTGCTCAACTATATCTTTATCGGGTATTGCGTCAGTTGAGCTAATGACTTGAAATGCTTCCTGCTAACCTGCAATTAGACGAACTTATGAACTTCGATTTATTTGCATTTGTTATTATTAGTGCAGTGTGAAGAAAGACTCAGACAAGTTTTCCTTTAGACTGTTTGTTGATTATACAGATTATAGGCAATCGACACACGAGTTATGTCAATGTCGTAGGTATATGAGAAAAAGGCTCCGAAACTGAAAGTGAGATCATCGGGAGAAAAGGGAAAAAGGTTCTCAGTTGCATATTGAATTCAGCTGAAAGTCAACTAAAATATTTACCCAAATAAACAAATAAGTAATATGAAGGCATCTATATATATAAATCTATAAACAAATTATGGGAGACTGAGATTTTAAAGACAGATATTTTTGGGCGCTCATGCCTGACGAATATTTAATGGCAATTTAAAAAAATTTGTTGTTTGCTTTGTAAATATTTCAAATGTTTACTATTTAGCTGTCTACGAGATAAGAATTGTTTTTTAATTGCGCAACCATTACGGCTCATAGCATTTAAGCCGGCTAATTTAGAGTTCTATGCATTAACAAAAAATATATAATTAAAGTACTTTGGGAATGTGCCCAAACTTAGATGCTTCCTAATGTTTTAAATTACAGTGTCTCAACTTGAGATCACGCAAAATGTTCAAGTAAAGAAAACGAAAAAGTAATCTTATTCTTTTTTCTGATCATTTAGGACCTTTGCTCTTTTATGGGGGAAAAACACGAAGCTGGTTTTATATGGTATTTATGATTCTTTTGGTTTAAGGCGGGAAAGCACCAAGGTAAATGGTAATAAAGCGGAAGATGTAAAAATAGTTGTGTAATAATTAAGGAACATTCCGAGAGCAACAAGCGAAGGGAAACGAACTCGAGAGAGCGCCAGCTTAGTTAGTTATCTGCACTTAAATGATAAACAAGCTATTACCGTATATGCTAAAAACAGTATATAGCCATGGAGCTAAGAGAAACTAAGAGATAGAGAGAGAGTGAGCACACTCTACTAAGAGCGAATGGTGGGTGATGTTTTAAAAAAGCTCTCATATGTCAGCTGTGCTTGTTTCAGTGGCTGCTCAGCAGTTGACTGGAAAACTTTCCGTTTGGAATACTCGCGTAGCGCAGAAGAACATAAACAACAACAGCAACAACGACAACAACAACAGAGAAAGTGACTGTCAACAGCAAAGCAAATAATAATTTATTGGAAATAAACAGTTACTCACGATGGCTATGTGGTTACAACGTTTACGACTCTCATGTGCTGTCGGCACAGCTCGTCAAAGCTTACGAAGCTTTGCCGCTGCCAGTGAGAATAAAAACAGCAACAGCAACAACAATAACCTTGACGCTTCTCCCATAGATGAGCGGCATCCGTTGCGGGGTGTGCGTATTTTAGATCTCACGCGCATCATCGCTGGACCCTACTGCACCATGGTGCTGGCCGATCTGGGCGCCGAGGTGATAAAGGTGGAGCGGCCCCATTTCGGCGATGAGGCGCGCAAATGGGGCCCGCCATTTCTAGAGAAGAGCGGCGATGCGGCTTACTTTCTGGCGCCCAATCGCAACAAGCAGAGCGTCTGCATTGACATGAAGCGTGGCAGGGATCTGATGCAGCAGTTGGTCAGCAAGTGCGATGTGCTCGTGGAGAACTATGTGCCCGGCACCCTGGAGCGCTACGGTCTGGGCTATGAGCAGCTGCGGCAAGCGAATCCACGTCTGATCTACTGCACCATCAGTGGCTATGGATCGGTGGGTCCCTATGCCAAGCGACCGGGCTATGATGTGATTGCCTCCTCCATGGGCGGCCTTTTGCATATCACGGGCCAGCCTGACGGGCCGCCCAGCAAGGTGGGCGTGGCAGTAACAGATGTTGCAACGGGTCTTTATGCACACGGCGCCATTCTGGCCGCCCTGCTGCAGCGGGAGCGCACCCAACGCGGCCAGAAGATCGACGTGGATCTGCTGTCCACGTGCTGCTCGCTCTTGATCAATGTGGCCAGCAACTACCTGAACGCCGGCATAGAGGCCAAGCGCTGGGGCACCGCCCACTCCAGCATTGTGCCCTACCAGAGCTTCAAGACAGCCGATGGCTACCTGACCCTGGGCGCCGGCAGCGATGCCCAGTTCGTGGAGCTGTGCAGCCGCCTGAACATCGAACCGATCGCCCTCGATGTCAAGTTCAAGACCAACAAGGATCGGGTCAAGAATCGCGAAGAGCTAGTCAATTTGCTTGCCAAGATCCTGGCAAGCGACTCGTCCAAGAACTGGATGCGCGTCTTTGAGGGCGCCTCCTTTGTGGTGGGGCCCGTCAACAGCATACGCGAGGTGTTTGAGGACGAGCACATCCAGGCCATAGGCCTGGTCAAAACTCTGCCCCATCCGCGCGATGGCAGCGTCAAGGTCGTGGGTCCGCCGGTCGTCTACAGTGAAGCGCGCAACGATGCACGCACCGCTCCGCCCATGCTCGGAGAGCACACAGATAAGGTGCTCGCTAATCTTCTAGGCTATGGAGCTGAGGAAATTGCCGAGCTTCGCAGTCAGGGTATCATTCAGTAAAGGATTCTCCCGAGATCCTATTACATACATATGTATATATGTATATATCAAAATAACCTAATTACATAGAGAAGAGCTTAAAGCTTGGGTCGCCTGCCTTATATCTATTAGGAATTTAGCTAAAACCTGTTCATTAATTATACAAAATTAACTTTTTAATATTCCATGTTTTTACTTTCGTATTTCCTTATTTTAAATGATGAGATAGATCTACAAAAATAGCCGAACTTATATAGCATGCAGACATTTCGTAAATAGTCATTCAGTTTAAGTAAACGTAAAAGTACAATATATATATTTTGAAAAGGTCAGAGGGCGAGTAGATCGAAGACCTTTTAAATATATTTCCAATGAAATTTGTTCATTTGTTTCATGTAAGATCTTAACTCAGGAATTACCAGGCTAAAAGCTTCAATCCAGACATACTCTTGGCATGAAGTATCAAGACTAACAATACATATATCGGTGAGAAATAAGATTTTCACAAAATTTTTTGAAAGTATAAATTTCAGCTGACGTAACATGAAGTAAACATTTGTTTTATAAACATGTGTATATTTAGCTCGATATCAAATATACTTGTAAACATGAGCAATTACAGCATAGAATGTATAGAATTTTGAGCAGTGTAAACATATTGTTAAAAAATTTTCGTCTGAATTTATTGATATTTTTGTTCCAATGGGCGACAACGTATATACGACACTAATCGCAGCAGCAGCTCGACTTGATATGCCGGTAAGAGCAGTACTTGAAGAGATACGACTTATCTATAACACACAATCGACACACTGGCCTACACCCACACACTCACACTCACACATGCTCAGTTTCAACGGGATCATATTTCGTGGGCTGACCGAACGCGACGCGAGAAGCTTATTATCGTCATGTTCTATGGCATTATGCTGGCCCTAGTTCTCAACATTATTGGCTGGATGGCGTTCATCTGTGTCTTCATGCAGCACGACAAATACTCAGCATATCGAGGCACGGGAGCTCCAGTCGATGGACACAATGCGACAAGCAGTTACCGGGCACTCGGCTAGTCCACTTACCCGTCTTGCAGAATGGCTTCTAGGTCAAAGCGCACGCAGGCGACTATCGATTTTAGCAAACGCAGCACTGTGCTCACCCGCCACAGGAACATGGAAATGGAGAATGAATGCGAGTGGAAACGAACATGGAAATAAAAACATAGAATTTGTAAGGACACAAGGACGGCGACGAGAAGACCAACTAAAGCGCGTAACTCACTTTTATCTACTCCCTTGAATTTTGTTTCTCTCGTTCGCTTTCGTTACTTTTCTGTGTGTGTGTGTTTTATTTTTTCGCTGCGACGAACGCGGTAGCTTTGTTGTGAATAGGCTGCGAGCTATGCCTAAACTAACTCTAGACGGAGACAGTGCAAGTGCTGCTGCCGCTGACTGCATTACTTATATATTATTTGTATTTATTTTTAATACTGGCGCTGTTGCCGTTGTTGTTTTTGTTTTTGCACAAACACTACGACAACCAACACCTGCTATGCGCTCTAACCCCCACTGCGAACTCGGATGTACCTTGTACTTTACCCAGAAATTCCATTGTTTACGTGCTCTATGCTCCTGTATGCTCTTTCTGAGGGCAGCATGCGTGGGAGAAAGACAGAGATAGAAAGACGTGGGTGAGGTCGAGGGTAAAGATGAATAGTGATGGGAATGAAAGCACTTGGCTATTTAATTACGCAGTATATGTATGCATGTGTGTGTGCGCACATAGCAGCAACAGCTGACAACAATTTGGTCACAGGTAAATTTACGATGGAGAGTAATTGGACAGCCGAAACACCAATTCTTTCAATATATTAACATCCGAGCTTTGCTTTCATTGATATGTAATACATATTGACCCATGTACGAACATACAGTAAAATTTCTCATTATGTAAATTGGTAATCTAGCTGCATTAACATTTTGAGACCAAGTACCCAGTGCTGCTAAAATTGCATTTAAATTGCAAATTAAATTTTTCAAAAGTATTAAAGTATTCAAAGTAAATATATATGCGCCCTTATTATTATGGCGTTGCCACCTACTATTGTAATTTATTGGGCATTTTTAGTGCATTCATCGAAATTTAGTTATCGATTTACTGTAGATGTCATCGCTATGCACAAATATGTTAAATAATAACAATAATCGAGAGTCTGTCATAATTTGTTTAAAAAAAATGCCGACCACACCGAAGCCTTCATTTGTGTCCCGCAACCTAGTTGCCATTGTGATAGTCCCCAGCCTGATCGCCCTTCACTTTGGCTGGAACCTATTACAGGATAATCGAAAGCTGGTGTCCGCGGAGGAACAAATTGATCTGCCTCCCGTTACGGTAAATGAAATATAAGCTGATAAATCAAATAGGAATGAGAATATATGTATATCTACAATAAATAATCTTGCAGTTTGCTAAATACGCGTGGAAGCGATTGACCGGCAATAATAGTGATGCTGCAGCCGAGAAGAGCGACTCGGATTGAGCGCGGGAATTACAAATTGTGCGCAGGCCAAACTTGTTAAAAACTATTTATTGCATGCAACTGATGCAGTAATTAAATCTACAATAAACATTAAACGTTAATATACAAGCTAACATAAACGGACGACGTACGTACAACACATACATATACATATGCTTATGTAAAATAAAATTAAGCAGACCGAAAGCGTCTGAAACTAATTTACAATATATTAATTAATTATTGCGCCAGTGACGAATTGACTGTGAGATTGTCGAGCTGTGCATTGAAGAGGACATCGCTGATGAGCTTCTCGGCAATTATGCGTTGCGTGTGATTGATGGACCGCAGCTTGCTAGCCACATTTACCCCAATCGCATCATATTCATCCTCGTGCCTGTGTGTGGTGGCGGGCGTTGTCGTGTACGCTGTGGTTGGCGCACTGCCAAATAGCGGCTGGTAATGATCCCGTCCAATCTGTATGGTTGGTACGGGCTGAGCATGTCCGTTGGCCTGATGGTGCAGATGCTGCAGCTGCTGTTGGTGATGTTCCAGCGAATTGACCGCCTGCCAAACAGATTGACAGGGAGAGAGAGAGAGGGAGAATATTTAGTATACTCCAAATATAATATTTGCAACACTCACCTGTTGTATCTCGCGCTGTGAATTGGAGTCGAGCGATGTTATCTCTAACACCTTCACGGCATGCCCGCCTGCAGCAGCTAACGAGGATTGTGCAGCGTTGGCCTGGGCAACTAGTCGCTGGTGCGCCTCTGCCACCTCGTTGTGTGTCTGATGTGATTCGTCTTTTACCAGTGTGACACAATCCGCTGGAGTCACCGAGATGGTGCTCAGCGTGGTGCCCTGACTACTGACCACAACATTGTTGGTGCCGACCGCAGCCACCTCTGCCTCGACTTCATCGCTGGCATTGGGCACGATGGTTTCGATATGCTGTGACTGAGGCGTATGGTGTGATTCCTCCTCGTAGTCCATCGAGTCCTCGTCATCAAAATTTATGTGCAGCTCTCGTTTGGGCTTGCCAGCCAGTTCGTTTGAATGGCGTTTGGGTTTGTGGTCAGCTATGAAGAGCAGCTTATCGTAGTACCAGAGGCGTGTCTCGTAGTCGGATTTGGAGTTGGATTTGCGAAACTCGCGACGAAATGCGGACCGTAGTGAGTTGATTTTTCTAACGACCATCGCGCGGTCAGGATTTGGCTCAACTTCTTTTAGTTTTTCTACCAATTTGTCGTAGGCTTTATTTCTGGCGGCGTGATTGCTGTAGTCATGGTGCTTCGGCTGCCAGAGACACTCCTCCTCCTGATACTGTTCAATGAACTCAGTAAGCCAGTGTCGTGAATACGATCGCAAGTCGTTATTTATGTTCGACACATTCATTGTTTTCCTTTTTGTTTTTGTATATCTTTATACTTTGATATTTTTCTGTTTTTCTCCAAGTGCGTCTTACGTGAAGTTGGTTGCTGCAACCGCGGAATAGTATTGCCTGATTCGTGGTAAACACAACACTATTTTAGCGATGTGGTAGCGCTCTGTGCATTGGCAGCGCTGCAGCCCTGGAATACCATACAGTTCTCGATGTTTTTGTCGAATGGTCAGAAAAGACAGAAAGGCGAAGCCGCTCTGCGAATTCTTATTATGTATTAAATAATACGAATTACGTGTTGTGAATTAAATCAAAATAAATGAGTGTAGCGCCTCGCATTGTTAGCTACAGCTAGTGAGTGCATGAACGTGCCATTGCAGTACGACATCGCGTTGTTGCTGTTGTTGCTGTTGATGCATGTCAAAAAAGAATACGCAAAAAATCTTTGTTAACAACAAAAACAAAGGTGCGTTATCGTCGTTGTCTTGGCAGCACACTTTAAATCTCTAAATTTGGCTAATTATATAATATGATTGTGTCTGTGTATAAATGCGTGCATAAGTGGGCAATAAAATGAGTGATAAATAAACGCATACAAATCAAAACAGAAAACGTATAAAATGTAGTTCTGTTGGAATGTGTGAGGTGATGTGGAGGGTATGGGGGCTGCCACACAGTTGTTGTGCATGACAGAGGAAACAAGTGAGCTGAAAGTGAAATACAGTTAAGCAACAGCTGTTTACTGTGCCCCATTGTCTGATCAGCTAACTCCAATCAGAATTGCCTCAACTCGAATTGCTTGAGAATGTAAACGAAATGCAACGAAGTGAAAATTAAAATTGATTTAGTTCTTTAAATATATTTTAATGTCGTATGCATTTACATAGGTCCAGTATACGTTTCCCATAAAAATTGAGCCAAGTGCAAAGTCCATTCCAATCAGAACTAAAGCTGTTATTGCCGCATGTTTCCTATTAGACGGGTCGAGCGTCAAATCTAATATGAGTGATTCTATTTATAACTACACTCAATTGCGCATGCAAATATATATATGTTTATATGTTCATATATATGCAGTTATATATGTAAATCACTTAGCCTTGACTCAATGGCAAACAACAAATGACGTTTAACGAACTTGTTTATGTACATTCGTTTTGCCGGCTCCGTGCAAAATCTCACCTCACCCTAACCGAACGACCCAACTATCCCCAGCATCCCCTTCACAGTGGTACGCAATTGATTTGCATGCGGCTGTAGGTAAATTACCTAATAGGCTTATCTGATAGAAATTCTAGTAATTATATTTTAGAAAATAGATCTAAAAATAATATTTTCAATGACTGCCAGAAATAGAAACAAACAAATTAAAATAATTTTAAACCTGCATTTTCAGTAATAAATATAATATAATATATATATACAATTTCTATATATACAATATATACAATTTCTATATATATTAAAACAAATTATTTTAATACGGAAATTCAAAGAACTTTATATGGCAGTTGTTGTCTCAATTATTTCCTCAGTAAAACTCAAACAGACTTAATTCGTCAGTAATTGTAATATAATATGGTAAAGCAAAACCACTTTTGAGCCAACTACAAAATTCGAGAAGCTCAACTAAATCGCAGTTGAAGCTTAGGGCAGAGTCTGTTTCGTTTTTTCTTATCTTTTATGCACTGAATAGCCGTCTTAATTTTATCTCTCAGCCAGCTGCTGTGTGCCCAGCTGTATCTTATCATAAGAGATATATACATACATATATGCTTTTATCATGAGCTTCGCTCGTTTCTGCCTAATGCTAAAACTTGTTCAAGGTGAAACGATTCACTTGTGGAAACCAATCGCACCGGGCTGCTCTATAAATATATGTATATATTCACATGGACATATTAAAATATGCCTACATATGAGTACGTATGTGTGTGTGTGTGTGTGAGGGTGTGAATCCATCTATATATAATAGTTGTTTGGGAGGTGTGTGCCAGCACATGGGCTAGTTATAATTAATTTTTGGTGATAATTTGTTGCTATTGCTAGCTTGTTTACATTTTTTCAGTAATTAACAGGTTTCCATGCTCTTATCTAGAGTGTCTTAGATTTCTCAGGGAATATGACACACTTAAACAGGTGAACGAATATGACGAAAAGTATAAATATATACGAACTTCTAATTGTATTTATATAAACAATAGTTCTTGTTTTATTTTCCGTATCTCCCCGTATCAAGAACTTGAATACATATACAACTCTTGTATATCAAATGGTCTTGGCCTCAAAGGTAAACGTTCAACGTGTTACAATCTTATCGGTACGGCTAATCAACAAACTCTCTTCACACGGTAGCTTTTTAAGCAAAGTTCAATTGAAATTTTTAACAACAGATTTTAGCTTGGTCACCTTTGATTGCATAAATCTGAATTGTTTTTGGTTTTCTTGAAACGATGCCAAAATATAAATATGCAAAATACGTTTGTTGCGTTATGAAACAATCATGAAATATCTCGTTCTATGCGATCTCTAAGCCTTACGAGTTATTGCCTTGCCTTGTCTTATCAGTGCGCATTAAGCTGATAAGAGCTTAAACTCAATCATAATACGCTCGCGACTTTGATGAGCAATTGTGGGATCTGTCGGGGTGTATCAGTGCTTGGGCATATAGCCAGGAAATATAATTAGAATTTCAATTATATTTAAAGCTCCAATTTGAATTATCTCTCTCCCATTGCAGTCTGCCATGAGCCGCCTTATAGAGAAGCCCAACATTGCCATGTCCATCACATCGTCAGGTAGTCAATTATCCAACACAGTAGCCGCCGGCTCGGCCAGCAATGTGGCCACAGCGGACGACAACCCTTCCCCGGCAGAGGATGAGGATGGCCACAGCAGCGAGCTAGCAAGAACTCAAATGCTGACCCCCTCCGCTGATCAGAATGCGAAGTCCTCAAATAGTAGGTCAACCCAGTTGATATTAACTAATTAGCCTTAGATGGGCAACAATTTATGATATCGATATTTATCGATTGCCAGCAAGTAACATATTTCTCGATTATTTATGGAATGGATAATCTGAGCAAGATCAATATATAAACTCTATAAACTAAATCAATATTTATCAATTGCCAATAATAGGATCATCATTTGAAGAATATATTTATATGCCAATTGCAAACTATTAAGATTTTATAATCCCAAATGTATGATTAAAGATCTTAAAATATTTATAGTAAACCATATCATGTCCAGCTACCTCTTCGATCAATCAATCCAAGGAAACAACGAAAAACAAATCAATCAGACTGTATCGATTTCACTTGTCCAACCAATGCAGTTGTAATTCTTATCAAATATATTATAAATATGTACATATATTGTCTGTATGTCCTTTTTGACTAATTTTCAATAGGTAGACTGTATAAATAGTTATTTTCATTTTCATTCGCATTTAAACATAGATTAAAATTTATTTGACATATAGTTTCAGTAGTGTTTTGTAAATTTCGTAAAATTGATTGATCAAATGCAGATATTCTATAAATTTTAAATGTATAAAATAAATTAAATACTTGGAATATTAAATTATAAAAGCTGATAGACTAGCAGATACCGCGTACATAGGCGATATTAAATATAACTTGGAAAATTAAATTGATTGTGTATACAATAATAGATCTGCTAGACTAGCGGACATTGACTCCCTAAAGATTAATGTATCCCTTTGAACGTCCCGTTTTAGTGCGCAACAAAGTGGACCAGGTGCTCGTCAGTCTGATAGCGGGCGCAGCAGCCGGTGCATTGGCCAAGACCACAATTGCTCCCCTGGACCGCACGAAAATCAACTTCCAGATACGCAAAGATGTGTCATTTTCGTTCAGGGCCTCGCTCAACTATCTGGAGCAGACATACACCAGGGAGGGCATGCTCGCCCTGTGGCGCGGCAACTCGGCGACGATGGCGCGCATTGTGCCCTACGCAGCCATCCAGTTCACATCCCACGAGCAATGGCGACGCGTCCTGCATGTGGATCAGAACGGCGCCAGGTAAGTAGGCATTGCAATTGGGATGCCTTAATGATCCGAAATCAACTTATTCAGTATTCGTATTCGTTCGTTAGCACTAAGGGACGCCGTTTTATCGCCGGCTCGCTGGCGGGCATAACCTCACAATCGTTGACCTATCCCTTGGACTTGGCTCGCGCTCGCATGGCTGTCACGGATAGATACACGGGCTATCGCACGCTGCGCCAGGTGTTTGCCAGGATTTGGGTGGAGGAGGGTCCGCGTACCTTATTCCGAGGCTATTGGGCCACAGTCTTGGGTGTTATACCCTATGCGGGTACCTCCTTCTTCACCTACGAAACGCTCAAACGCGAATATCATGGTAAATCGTTGCTCTCTTCCGTCATTCCATTATAAAGCTATTCCTCTCTTTGTAGAAATCATTGGCAATACAAACCCGAATGCTTTTGTTTCGCTGGCATTTGGTGCAGCGGCCGGTGTAGCTGGTCAAACGGCTAGCTATCCGCTGGACATTGTGCGTCGGCGTATGCAGACAACCCGGGTGAACATCAATGCGCCGCAGTCTTCTCCAACGATACTGGCGACGCTTGTTACAATATACAGGTAATGATTGAGTTTGATCGATTGTGATTCACATTCTAATATTTGAGCATCGTTACCTGTACACAGGGAGGAGGGCATCAAAAACGGCTTCTACAAGGGCCTGAGTATGAACTGGATCAAGGGTCCCATTGCCGTTGGCATTAGCTTCTCCACGTACGATCTGATAAAGGCTTGGCTTATCGAACTGTCCCACTTGAAGCGTGGTCGGGCTGAGAACTAGCAGTTGCCCTACAAACACATACACATACACACACACACACACACACACAAACACGCATACTCATTGATACACATACATATATACATGTATATATAACTATATATATATATATGTATATGTACAGATGTACACAGATAAGGAAAGAGATAGACAAACGCACTGCTTTCGTTATTAAGTTAAATGTTCGGATAGCATGGATTGATTTTCTCATGCAGCATCAACATTGTTACATTTGATTGATATTTTTAGTTGTTAGCTGTGGAAGAGTTATGATGAATACACAAGCGCTTACTTTTGTTATTCACTGTAAACGATTATTTTCTTTAAGCTGAAAGTAAACTAAACACAATAAAAACATAACCTGTCTGTATAAAGTTTCAAATTAAGGCTACTATTGCATTGATTTTGATGCTTTATTTGTACTTACAACTTCGACAATAACTTTTTCATATATACAACTCTATAGCTATTAAACTAATTGTATTCGCTTGTTTCTATTTTTTCAAGTGTCGAATGTACGTTAGAATTTGCTAGTGCATGGTTAAAGCTGTGAAAATATTGTTAAAAAATTTGGTATACATTTTTAAATGTTTAGCCATGAAATCAATACTTTAATATGTTACATGTGAGTGTGTTTTTTATTAGCAAAAATATATTAAAGATAGTTTCAATAAAGTTTGTCAAATATTTAAAATGAGCGCATTGTTTCTCAACTGGCTTTTAATGTGGCAACGCCGACGATAGCGTTTCAATTCGATAACGTTTTGTCTTCAACATTTGGCTTCATTTGCCATCTCTAGTCGCGTTCAGTTGTGCAAAAATAGTGCGCAAAAACAAATTGCTTATTTATTTGATTTATTTTATTTAAAGACAAGTCACTTTTTGTTAAACGTTCCTAAATAGTTCACGTGCTATATGTAGAGTACGTGCTTTTAAGCACTAGTGTTTATTTACCTCTTTGCTTCGGTTTAACCAAGTTTGTATGAAAAGTGTCCATTTATATATACAAGTACATAAATAATTAAAACTATCGATGACTTTTGCTTAGAAACAGGTGAGTGTCGGGAATTGATGAAAGTGGCAAGTGCAAGTGTAAAATAAGACCACTATTGATTTATTGTAGTCATGGCCGCTCCCTTGTGGGCGGACTGCTGTCGAACAACAGGTGAACAGAGTTGCCATACAGTCATTTAAGCCTTTCTGCAATTTTAAATTGCGAAAAATCAATTTACTTGCGAATTGTTTCATGTAATTCAACATGAATAAATGGTTTACTGCTACAAAATATCATAAACATTTGTATAATTATAGTGATAAATAATATAGCGTACTTAAGGCATATCTGATAACGCTAATCAAAAACTTTCGTATATATGTAAATGTATACATTGTGAAGACATAATAGCTAAAAGTATTATTATATTAGAACTGAAGATGTTATCTGTAACGTACGATTATTTAGTCTTAGCAGGGAAATCCCAGAATTAGCTTTTATATATGTTATGTAAATTTATAAAAGTACCAAACTAGCAAATCATTTTTGTGTTGTTTAATGTAATGTAAGAATTATTCATTAATAATTTCAAACGGGGCCTTTTAAAATATAAATATATAAACATTTGTTAGTTTTGAACTGTAAACAGAATTCGAACTGTCTGGCCACGCAATTGTGCTCTATGTTTGCAGTGCCATTTTGAGTAAAGCGGTTGGCTACGGATGTTAACAGGTCGGCCCTACATTAATGTTCGTGCGTCCAATCGCGTTGGTGGTGTGCCCTCGCGGGTTTTGCTAAAGTAATACAAATTAATTATATTTTACAATTTATATTGTTTAAAAAATACCAGAATCGTCGCAAGCTCAATTCGCAATTTATTGAGCGCTCTGGCACCAAACTACAAACACAGTATTTTCGTTGAGTGGAGTTCTTGTGATAGAGTTCGTGTAGTTGTGTGGCGCGTTTATTTGTGTAAGTGTGTGCGAGTGTGTACGATTTAAAAATAAAACGGCAAATACATATCAAAATATTAAAAGCAAGAAACAAGAAGAAAAGGTCTGCTCGTGTATTAACGTGAGTGAGTGTTTGTGTGTGTGCTCTGCTGTTCTGCACTAGTGTACGCGTGTGTGTGTGTTGGGGCTCTCGCTACCAATACCAACATATGCACACACATACATTCTTCGTACGTGTTTACACCTTCTGAGCTGTTTGTGTATTAAAGGTAAATAGAATATAGAGAAAAGAGCAAAACACGGGCACGTTCACTGCTCCGTGTTCTGTGCACAAAAGCAACAAGCAAATGCTGTCGGCGGGGCTGTGCGTGGGCGGGCTATAAGCCGCTGCCGCTGCCTCTGCTGCTGCTGCTGCACTCACTTATCCCCTCGTTGCAGGAGGATTTTTGTGGAGAATTCTAGGAAAATAAAAATATTTCGTCCATGATTGTTTATAATTCTATTTTTCGACTCTTATTTAATTTTAAATTCGTTTTTTTAGTATTTATAAAATATGCAAGTATGTATATGCGTGTACATATGCATAAGTGCATATGTATGTATTTCCACACGTGTGTGCAGCCTGTGTGCCTGACCATGCAAAATCATGTGTTGCCACTTGGGCAGACATTATTATACGCTATGTTGTTGTTTTTTCTTGTTGCGCTCCTGTTTCTTATTGTTTTTCTTGCTGGCTGTGCATGTCGTCGTCGTCGCCGCCGTCGCCGCCGCTGCCGTTGCAGTCGCAGTCGCTGTGGCCATCGTCTTTCGCTGTTAATTCTTGGAAAAATCATAAAAACAAAAGCAAAAGAATTTTCGAGTGCAATAGCAGCGAATATATTAGCTCCCATCCCTTTCTCGCTCTCACAATCACATTTGCTACTCTTGCTTTCTTACCGAGACAGCGCCTGCGACAGCGACAGCGACGTCGACGTCGTTTCGTGTCGCGTCGCGTCGCGCAGTTCTGCTCGTTCTGCCCGCTCAACACTTTATCTTCTTCTGTTGCTCTGTTCTTCTGGTCTTGGTTCGTTCTTTCGTTCAATGTGTTGCGCACACAGGCACACACTCACAACACGCACATGCTCACACTGGACGTGGGCTGCCATTTACCATTTTGGACAAATTACTTTTCTCGTCGCCGGCGTCGCCGTCGTCGTTGTGTCAATAACGCCGCTGTCCACTAACGCTGCAAGCACTGATTCTGCTGCGGTTGTAATCGCGTCTATCGATGCCTTCTCACAGATAAGCTACGATAAAGTTAGTCAATCCAAAAGCGCTCTCGCTATCTCCATCTCTCTCACTCTCTGTCTCTCTGTCGCTAAGCCGCACAGTAATTATTACACCTTTTAAAAAACTAAATGCAACGCAATATGTGTAAAGCGATTGAGAGAATGCTTATCAAGTGTCTGTGTGTACCTGAGCACGTGTGTGCGTAGGTGAACTTTAATCAATCAGTGTTGTGTCGGCTGTTGTTGTTATTGCTGTTTCTCTGTAAAATTGTGCAGAAAATATAAACACTTGAAAAAGCTGTTGCCAGATGTTCGACTGTGTGGGTAAGTGTGAGTGCATGTGCGTGTGCGGGCTGTCAGGCTGATAAAACATTAGAGCGCAATTCTTAAATAGTACATGCCATACGTGTATGTATGTATGCATGTACTTTTGTATATATTTATTGGCATTTGGTATTGTATATTGAGTTTAGAAATTGAAGTATCAATACTTAGCTTATGTGCATTTTTTGTTTGCGAATGTCTTATTTATTGCACAGTGGCTAGGAATGTCAAGAGTGTATGAAACAACAGTTGAACAGCCACAACAACAATGACGATAATTGATTATTCAATATAAGCCCAATCAAATATCTGGTGGGTGGGTTTGACATTTGATGTTGGCAGCAAACATCCAAAGCAAAAGCGCACGTATTCACTCTGTCTCTCTCTCTCTCTCGCTCTTCCTCTTTCTCCCTTACTCTCTGTTTTTCTCTCTCCTTTACTCTCTTCCACACACAGGGACACAGAAATGTACTTCCACAAGCAAAAGCGCTTATTAAACTTTTATGAGCACAGTAACAAATAGTACAAAAACGGCACAGAATAAACATATGTGTGGGGCTTTTATAGATGTATGTATGCATATATATAGATATGTATTTGTGTGTGTATTGCTTATAAAAAATGAAAACGTAAGAAAAAGTTTTTCTAACCTTCACCGAAGTATTATATACTCTCAATAAACACATCTTGCATTTATGTGCTTGAAAGTGATACTGACTTGTATACAGACTATGTATACAGGTTTTTTAGACTTTAAATATTATTTTTATAAGTATTAATGCCAGTAATTAGGTGCATTAGCAGAAGTTATTCGAAGCAAATTTTAATCCGCTGTTAATAACATGCGTTTGTTCTGTTATGATTATAGTCTGTACATTCTTTAGCAGAACTCCACAAAAAAAATTATACAAAACTATATTTGGTGTATATTTGTCGGAATATTTTCAATGCCTTATCTGTGATTGTGTATAGAAAAAACAAACTCAATATGATTTGCAGGCAGACAGGAAAGAAATGAAACAAATGTCGAAGCAGCAAAAAATCAAAGGGCAACAACAACAAAGAACAGTAACTTGGTGAATATATTGCTCGTATGTGACTATTTATTTGCACATATATAGATGCATATATGAACAACCCGATCTAATATATATGCATACATATATTTCATATATCGAATTAAGATTAAATGTATATTTTTGTATAGCGCATTCTTACTTGCTAATTGACATATATTTATAATGTCCTTAATTAGTCTACTTTTGAGTAAATATGTAATTTAAATTGTAACATGCTTGAGCTACGTCTTTTGGCCATTTTTAGCAGCAATTAGCTGGCATCGACTAATTTGCTTGTCTACAAAAAAAAAAAAAAAAAAAAAAAAAAAAAAAAAAATTCCTATCCATATGTCTAGTTATTTGTTTTGCACGGAATCGTTGGAGTATATATATACATATATACACACACACACACATCTATATCTCGTTATATCTGAAAATTTGTTTATCTTTCGCCTTATAGCAGCGTCGTGTCCGTCGTCGTCGTCGTTGTCTCTTTATGTGTTTAGCAAGCGAATCTGTTTGCTTAGCTAACCCCACAGCAAAAGCGAAGAGTCCGCATGTGTATTTGGGTATTATTCGGAGATTGCAATTTGTTTATCTAACGCGAACTTGCGGTACTTTTTACAATTTAAGTTGTGAATCAGAATAAAGGAATTAAGAAGTACTGTGAAATGAATGTATTTAAAATAGATCAACAGTAAATGAATAAATTTGGAATATGACTATTCTATAATTCATGAAACATGTTTCAATTACCAATTTCAGCTTTTAATTCCTTTGAATGATTCTCATTATTATGCACATATTAGTGCGGTATTTTGCTTTCAGAGCTCCACAACAAATGAATTGTCCCCCATGCTCTTTACCTTTTGCTTACGCAACGTTTGTATTTGTTGTGGATATCATTGCCTTATCAGCTGAAGTGTGCAGCTAACTCTCATTGGGCTTTGGCAAACAATTATTCATAACCTAAAAGTGCATTGAAGTCACCTCTTGCCATTCGTAGCTCTCGACAATTTCTTCTCTTTTCCTGTTTGTTTGTTGCCTAGAGATAGATACAGCAACAGCTGCATACAAATTTCAAATATATTTGTTCATACGTATATTTGGATGCGCATATGTATGAGTGCATTAATTGTTTACGTTGTGGTCAGCAATTTTTAATTGAATGCTATTCAAATTACACACTGGGCTTTCCATAGATCGCCAACGACGTCAATTGTGTTGCGAGCATGAAAATCAAAAGTCGCTAAACCAGTTTCGCAGTTTTCACTGTAACAGCAACAGTGACAGCAGCAGCAGCAGCAATAGCAACAACTACTTTCATTGCTCGTGCATTCAAGGTTGAGCTTTGCGCCAGTTTTCTTGCTCTGCAAAAGTTATTATTTTCAAGGTTATTTAGCGTGCGGCGTTTGAATAGAAAGAAAACTCAATAGCAGATAAAACGAGATGGAGAACACACTTTTTCCTCTTCGACCGTCAGCGAGTAAGGTTAAGGTTAGATGCGGCTAAGACTTCCGCACGCTAATAGATATTCATACAAACATACAATAATGTGCATGTACAACATGTTCATTGACTACAAAGTAAATTTAGTTTAAGTTATTTTCGACATGCAGATATATTTTCATTTTTCGCTGCTAAAAATGGGGAAAAATTGGAGCAACTGAAATATACCCAAGGGTCCGCTCGTGTTTGCCATTAATTCTTCTCGCTACCACATGTGAGTCTTATCAATAACCTGATATATGCACATATGTATGTATGTATATTATTAGCATGCATACGTCATGTGCGTATCGCGTTTGGCTTATATTGTTGCTGTAAGTTTTATCGCAATTATAAACGGTACCCAAAAACTTTTCCATTTTCCACTTTAAAGCGCCTTATACCGCAAATTGTATGTATTCTAGGAACATCCCAAATTAAAGTACATATTCTGATGAGATGTCAGCGCCGCGTGCAAATAGCTTGATACATTTAAGGGGACTAGGCGAACGCGGTTTGTTTCTTTATCAATTTCATAGAAAAAAAAAAAAGAAAAAAAACAAAGAAGTAATAAAAATCCCTATAAAAAGTTCTGTGTCTGTGTTATCTATCTAGTCAACCTGTATGTCGCATTTGATTTTAAAGGCTTACACTAAATATGGTTCGACTGGCTTCCCGGAAAATTGCATATCAAGTTTATTTAAATAAGTTTTTCATTATATTACAAATTCCAGAACAAAGTGGATTGTGCGGAAAATGAATTTTCGTAAAAGCTTTCGTGACGGCCAAGGTCTAGCTAGCTGTACTATATGGAATATATACATATAAATGTAAATATATCGAAATATGTTATTTTCTTTATTTTAGCATTTTATATTGATTTTTAATCGACGCCTTGACTATTAGAATTTTCTAATTTACTTATGTAAATCTGTGCAAGAGTGAGGGTAATTCGTTGGAACTGCTTTGAAATACACACGTCAATGCGCATCTAAAGATACCAGTTTCTCTCTTGTTGAGAAACTGATTCGAATTTATGAATTCGTTGCTTTGCATGCAAACCAGAGTGTAGACACGTTTTTAACCCATTGACGACAACGTTTTAAATTTGATTCGTTTCGTTTCGCTTCGTTTCGATTGAAGGCGTTAAATATTTCAGATTGAATTGGTTGTTCAATATTTACGTATGCACAGCGGACGGCCGCTTTATGAACGTATTGCTTTATAAATATTATCGCCCCTAACCAACTGCGCTGTGCTGCAGTTGGGGCTAAATACAAACAAATACAATGCACTGTCACGCCTCGTACCGCCTCTTGCTCGCACACACACAAACACAAAGATGAAAAAAAAACAAACAAAATACATATCGATTTATAAAATGCTGCTATCCACCAGTTTCGAAGTTATCGTCGCCTAATACTACCAGATATCGAATTCGTATACCCTTCCCATTGGGCATTTGGAAAAATTGAAAATTTGTTTGCGACTGTGGCTAATTAACTGCTTAGTCAGTAAAAGGTCAAGGAAATTGAAACGATAAGATTCATTGCTGTTAACATTAGCTTGTTATGTTAAGCACTTAACAGCTCTAACAGATTTGATACGATTGCCTGTAACATTTTCTGTTATTAACATTTACATGTACATAGTATTAAATGAGTTAATGTATGTTAACACAGAGAACAAATTTGCTGCATGGTTTATTCTGTTGGCGTATTTCATATTATAATTTATTTATTTAAGTGCCTAAAGCGTTTTTTTAAGAGTATTTTTGATGCGTTGCCGCTCGGATCTCTTATTTTGTATTCAATTTTATTGGCTTCGCTTCATCGTCAATATATTATGGCATAGTATCTGACCAGACTATATTTTTGGCAACTTTGTTGCTGGATTTCGTTCAGCTTTATTTTATTTCATATTTTATGGCAGGTAAACAACAAAAGGCGGCATAGCTTTCTATATTTTGGCTTTTGAAGTCGCACGCTTGGCTTGCTTTTCAAATAGTTGTAGGTCGAATGCTAAAATGCTATCCAAGGATGCCAAACAGAACAACAAACACATCCATACATAATGAATATTAGTATGCATATTTAATTATTATGCGTCGCCAGGCTATTGCTTGCGTTAATTATACGCTTTAGACAATGGTCTGATTTTGCCAACTTCCAAGCAAAATATGAAATTCATAGGAAACGGCCAAATATAAGCATATGTTTAGTATAGTGCCCAAAGAGCAGCCAAAATATTCAGATCGTGTCTGTATTTTTGCCAATTTAACTGATAAGAATGTTTCTTGGCCCAGTCAGCTGTTGAGGTCTTTATCAAATTGTCACCGTCTTCCTCGTAAATTGATTCATTTTTATAATCCACCTCTTACTTATTTTTCTTCTGCTTGTTGTATTCTTATCAGAAGTGTACAAGAAGCCGTAATATTGAGTGAATGTATTTTTTAAATTTGCAATTCAAAGAATATTTCTTTCTTTTTAGAGTAGAGCACTTAAAATTTAATGCAAGTTACTTAAATTACATCTGCCTTTCTGAACAGAGTTATAAGAGCAAGGGTAAAGTTTCCTCAACGGGTTTTCGTTTCTTTTCTGGCTTAAATTGCGAGCACATTTCCCTTGTTTGAAAACCATTCACAATATATAAGTATATACATATATATGTATGTATTCAGACTTGTTGCCATTCCATACTCACACATATTTCATAGATATACATTTAATTCCTATTAATACTCGGGCGTCCTGTGCTGTATCGTTATTTATAAACACGTCAGCTGGGACATTGCTTATCTCAGGTGACGCAGGTGTATTTCGCATCATAACAGACCGACCGGGTCAATAAGTAAATAAAACAAACAAACAAATAAACAATGAAAGAAATACGACGCTGTTGCTCACTTGCTCCCTCCCGGTGGGTGGCTGGGTGGCTGGGCGGCTGGGCTGTTGGTTGCCTCCAAGGAATATATACATGTAAATGTGTATTCGGCTATGTACATAATATATATACCACAATTTGCTTAGCAGAAAGTGTTCAAGGTCGCCATTTGCAGCCATTTTGTTAGAAATATACTCCAAGCCGTAACAAATACCAACGCAATATTTGTATTAATAACAACAATAACATCAGCAATAATTTCCACTGAACTCGCATTTGCATTGTGTGGAGCAGCAGCAGCTGAAGCAGCAGCCTTGAACTACTAACCAGTCGGTAGAACGCCAGCAGCGGCAGAAAGTAAACCAACGAGTAGGAAAAAAAACGTCATGAATCGTAGATAAACCTGCACAATATAGTTTGGCTACCTAAGCGGAGTCGCCGTGGGCTTTCGACTCTCTAGTCAGCCGCACATCCGATCGGTGTTGATAGTCGACCAGAGCCAGACTTGTGCAGCAGGTAACACACACGACACGGGCATGACCTGTTTTTATATCGCTGTTGCAGTTGTCCCTTTTGGTGGCATAGAGATGAGAGCGCGAGTATTCGTGATGTGAAATTTCGGATTGTTGATGTCTATGAGTGAGAAAAGATCACAGAAATTCAATGAAATGCAGAAAGTTATAGTACCTGATTATATAATCAATCAAACTTGGATTAGAGTTAACTGTTTTGATATCAAACCAGATCCTAATCAAGAATTCTCTTCACATCGTGTCACGTCTCTTCAGTCGCTTCCATCTCTACAGCCTGCCGTACGTTTGTGTATGTGTGTGTGTGGAGTTTGATTTCTATCTAATTTTTGTTACGGCTGCGGACTGCTCTCTTTCCGTGCCTCGTCTGACTGGTTTGGCTTGTTTGGCCATTTCTCGGGCCATTCATATTTCCTACGTGCGCTGTGCTCACGTCGTTGTCCCTTTTTTTCTAGAGAACTACGAAAATTAGCGTATCGACCACAAAGGCAAACAAATGTCTTTGCCTGAGTTGTTCTTCTGCTGGGGACTTCGGGTTACCGGGGGCTCGTTGTGTTTGTTGTTGTTCTCGTCTGCTGTTTGTTTCTCGGGTGATCACGTTTTAGTGTGTCCCCCACACGACGCAACGAGCATGAACTGTGCGCCACTGAACGCAAATGATCTTGCTAAAAGGCGCGCAATTAATTGTTACACCTGTCCAGCTGTCCCATTGTCCAACACCGTGCACCTTTCCATAGGGGTGCGTCAGATATTCGTCTCCATTCTGGCTGCGTTTTGTTTATTTTCTCACTGTTGTGCTAGTTTTTGTCGCATTGTTTGCCTTTCGCCATTATTTTTGTTATGGTAATTAAAGTTGTGTTTTGTTAGCACATGGCTCTATTCTATCTCCTCTGTGCCATAAGCTCTGCACCACAACACGCGCAACAACCACAGAGATACACACACACACACTCACACAGACACCCAATGGCGCTTCTTGTGACGAGCTCTGTTATAGTTGGACGCAAAGTGCGTCAGCAATGGAGCTTTGTTTCGCTTGTTTGGAAAACATCCCGCTCTGCCCACATTGTTATATAAGCTGACTGCCTTGTTGCATATTCAAAGGATGGAATGTTGAAACATAAATTCCATTTGGACTTTGTAATGTGAGCCATGGGGAATGCTGAAAGTTCTGACGTTGTCAAATCGGGTTGCAGCTTAGAGTATAAATAATAAAAGCTAATTTATACACACATTAATTTGAACTGAGCAAAAACTGTTTTTAGTAAATAATAGTAAAATAATAACAGAGGTAAATCCAGAGAAAGGCAGAGAACGGAACTGAATTCAAGGAACTGTGAAACATACACTTGTATTTTCCTGAAAATCTCATAAGCTTACTTAAGATATTGTGTTTTTGGCATTGATTAGCTTTGGTTTTGGCATTGCTGTGCATTCACAAAACTTTTGATTGCAAATGCTTCTGATAAATCAATTGGATTAGTGCGAATGAATTTTGATAAAGGCGCTCTGCACATGCAACATACATATTCACACACTCACGCACACATCTCCATACACACACACACCTACATACATAGAAACGTACATTTAATATCCTGCCTCTCATGTTATCCTTGCCACTTATATGCTTATATGTATATTTTATTTATAGTTTTTTTTATCGATCCATTACCATTCATACCAAACATTCCGTGTGTGTGAATTTTATGGACGAATCCAACTTCCGATTCGCTTGTGGAAGTCAGCAGCTGGACCTTGGCCAGGTCATCGCCGCCGCCACCACCAAGCAGCCAGAGAGCCTCGCAAAAATGCATTAAACAATTACCAAATTAAATTGCATGACAAATCGATCAAATCAAATCATAAGAAGCGAATAACAAACAATTGAAGCAAACACAAGCAAGCAGAACAAAATATATAACACTTCTGTATAAACAGAAAATCCAACACTCTGGCCTTAAAAGCATATATTGTCAGCCGTAACCCTGTCATTGCATCCTGGTTGCTGCACATGTAACAGCTGCTTCGCTCTCGCTAACATCCCATCCATATTCATCCAAACCAATAAACCATATGAGCAGCATGAGTCTGTGGAAGCGCATCTCGAGCCATGCCGACTGCGAGCAGCGCATGGCGGCTTACTACAATAAGAAGGGTCTGTACGACCTGCGCCTCTGCTTGGCGCCCTGGATCGAAGACAGAATAATGTGAGTAGTTGTCCCGAGTGTTCTCAGAGTGGCGATTCTTTGCCGAATCTGTGGGTGATACCAAGGTATTCAGACTAAACTACAATGCTGGGCAGGGGTATGGGCTGTAAATATTTATTCATAAGCGTTTTCCTATATTCTACATTGAAGGTATTTCTCTTCATGAGCAATATTTCGATTAAATGTTAATCAAAATCGTGTGCTGCTCTCGAAAAAGTATAATATATGTATATTTAAATCAACTAAATTCTTCAGAACTTGATATTTAACAGAGTTTTGTATTCTTTTCTAATAATCACATTATAATCTCTGTGTTGTCCAACAGGTCAGAGCAGATAACTCCTAATTCGACAAATCAATTGGAACACGTTGCCGTCAAGTTCATTGAGGATCTGCAGCAGAAACTTTTATCAACACGCGCCAGTGATCAGGTGCTGAAGTATCGTCTGGTTGAGCTCTGTGCGCTGATCCAACGCACCCCGGCCCTTGAGCTATATACGCATCTGCGCAGCGGAGTGCAGAAGGAACTGCAGTTAGCAGCCGAGAAGAGTGTCGCCGTTGCCAGCGCAGGCCAATCGATGCCGCTGAACACATATAACATGAACAATGCCGCAGTTGCCGCAGCCGTTGGTATGAACACTGGCTATGTCGATGCTAGTGATTTGCTAGGAGTTGCCGGTACCGGAGTATCCCCAGTGGCTGGTGGCATGCCAGCTGGAATAATGCATAATATGGCCGAAACCGCTGCGCCCGGCAGAGTGGGCCCAGCTAAAATGGAGTTGTATGAAGTACATAATCAGATATTCCAAAGCTTCAACGAATTCACCACATGCTCCGAGAGTCTGAAAGTCTTGGTGCAGAACTATCGCTATATGCTAAACGCACCCAATTCGCCCGATGCGGAACGTCTGTTCAAGAGTTTGATTGAGGACAAGGCCGCCCTGGTGGCCAGGCTGCGACGCAGCTTTATGTTCTACGATCAACTGCAAGATATGGTCATAACGGAACTTAAGAACTGGCGGCGCCAACAGGCTCTAGCCGGGAATGGAGCACAGTTTAGCGAGAATATGCTGGATGATATACAGCGGTGCTTTGAGCTGCTGGAATCTTTTGTCACCCATCTGCTGACGGCTGTCAAGGAGACGCTCCTGGTGCGCATCGTAAACGATGATCCCGATCTGAACTGTCTGCTCGAACAAGTGCAGGTGGCACAAAAGAATCTAGTGTGCTCTGCTTTCATTGTGGACAAACAGCCGCCGCAGGTAATGAAGACAAACACACGCTTTGCGGCCTCAGTGCGTTGGCTGCTTGGATCCCAGCTGGGCATACACATGAATCCGCCCACAGTCGAGTGTATTATAATGTCTGGTAAGTGTATTTCTTTCCCTGCAATCACATATCAATTAACGCAAGTGTTTGCTCTTTACCTTTGCAGAGTTGCAGGCACAGCGCTTTGTGACGCGCGGCACACATATGGATGTGACCAATGGCAGCCTCGCTGGACAGTCGTCGGGCGAGATACAGAACTGCTCCAGCACCATGGAGTATCAGCAGAGCAGTCATGTATTCTCCGCGAGCTTCAGAAACATGCAGCTCAAGAAGATCAAGCGCGCCGAGAAGAAGGGCACCGAAAGCGTCATGGATGAAAAGTTTGCATTGTTCTTCTATGCGACCACAACAGTGAATGATTATCAGATTCGCGTCTGGACACTGTCGCTGCCGGTGGTGGTTATTGTTCATGGTAACCAGGAGCCGCAATCGTGGGCCACCATTACTTGGGACAATGCATTCGCTGATATTGTGCGTGATCCGTTCGTGGTCACAGATCGCGTCACTTGGCGTCAGTTGTCAGTCGCACTCAACACCAAATTCGGCTCCTGCACACAGCGCGCCCTGACAGCGGAGAACTTGGAGTTTTTATGTGGGTTAAACGAATGTCAACTTTTCATACTTTGACTTAATAATACATTTATATCTTTATCTACTCAGTCGAGAAGCTGCAGCGTGATAATATTGCCGGCGAGCGCAATGAGTATATTTCATGGAATCAATTTTGTAAGGAGCCACTGCCGGATCGTACTTTCACTTTCTGGGAATGGTTCTTTGCCATTATGAAGCTGACCAAAGACCACTTGTTATCCATGTGGAAAGCCGGCCGCATTACGGGCTTCATCAACAAGGCCAAGGCACACGACGATCTCTTGCGCGCCGTTACTGGCATTGGCACATTTCTGTTGCGTTTCTCCGATAGTGAATTGGGTGCGTATATTCAATTTAGTTGGCTAAGAATGCTTTCTTAATAAATTTGTATATTAATGTCGCTTGGTTAGGTGGCGTTACCATTGCCTATGTGAACGCTTGTGGATCGGTGACAATGCTTTCGCCATGGACTGCACGGGATTTCCAAATACTCAATTTGGCTGATCGCATACGCGATCTGGATATGCTGCGTTGCCTGCATCCGACCGACGTCAATGTGCAACCATTGGATCGCGATCTCGCTTTTGGCGACTTTTATACACAGCGCGCTGGTACGGCTACAAGCCAAGAAAATCCCAATTAAATTGTTTATTAAAGGAATGCCTAAAAAGTTGATATTGTTTGACAACAGACGAGCATTGAGAATGATTCATAACAAGATGTGTTAATTAGTTTGTTTATTTCTTTCTAAATTTGTAATGCCAAGTGAATGTCAAACAAATCAACTTGGGTATCCTTCATAGCACTCACACACATTAACAATTGACACCTCTTTTGAATTTGCACAGAACCAACGCCCCGCGTCGATGGATATGTTCCCAGCACGATACGCGTGCAGGTGCGTACCAGTGGGGATACGGGCTCCATCAGTGGCACGCCCCATCACCCAATGCAGTCACCGCCGCAGGATAGCATGTCGATGGGAAAGTAAGTTTTGCATGGTCGCCCTCATTCTAACATCTAGAGTCTCTTTGGCTGACCTTTTGTATTGTTTATTTAACTTTTTTTTTTCTTATTTTTATTTTTTTTTTTTTATAAATGTATTATTTTGTTTCTTACTTCTTTTTACTCTGGGTAGTGCACCCCAACCCAAATTCAAAGCAAACCCCGCAAATCGGGCTTTAGTTTCTTTGCAGTCCCAACTGCATTTTAATTCTTATTTATTTTATTTGGCTTCTACCTATTTCCAAGAGTTTAATTAGATTGCAATACTTTGAAATTGAGAGGGGAAATGTAAACAAAATAAAGCGATACAAAAACTATTTAACCACTGAAAACAGATCGCAGGCGTTTATTGCTTATGTTTTTTCGGTATATTTATTGAAAATGTTTTAATATTTTGATTATTTTAATTATATTAACAATAAAGTGAAAAAGAATTGTGCAACACAGTGTGGTAAAATACTATCTTACTTACTCTACTCTTTGTTTATTTTCATTTTCTACTTTTATGCGATTTTTATTTGTTGTGCAAACACTCGGTGTTGTGGTGCCGTGCCTATCCAGTTATTCGCCGCGTAGTGGCATGTCCTGTAATCCATCGAGCGTCGCAACCACATCCTATTACAAGGATGATTCTGATTCAGATGATAGCACTGTGGCGCAGGCGCTCGAGAATTATGTCAACAATACAGCGCCAGACGATCCCATACTGGATCAGATAAGTCACACCATATACAATGTGTGCGCCAATGGGCCAGAAGCGCAGTGGATGATGGCCACTAAATCAACATATGCGGTGCCATCGCCCTATAATCAAACGGTGCAATACTAAGAACATAACGTAAATTCGAATCGCAGGCTAGTTTGGGTGGTGCCTCTTACCGAAAGGTATTGTTTGATACCTACATATCTATCAATATATTTATGTACCAATCGCAATCGCAATCGCAATCGCATTAATATCACCCAGCAAAACGAGATAAACAAATCAATCCAACAGTTCGATTCAAATTCTCATCATTCGTTTGTTTGTTGTATGCTCAGGACTCTGTCCATTCTGGTCGCTCAAAAATGTATAAAAAATAAATTAAATACATTCATCACTGCACGCCCACTCGTCATTCGCCACTCGCCACTTGCCACAAGCAACTTGCAACATTCGCCAAATTGTCACATTCATTTGAAGTGCCCGCTGTCGCTGCCCTTTTACTAACTCTCAAACATAGGGCGCTCGAATCTAAGATCACATATACAAACGAAAAAAAAAAAAAAATGGTTTTGTTCGCCCTAATTGTTCTCCTTCAAAGTATTGCCATCTTATTAAGCTTTTCAGTCAGCAGCCATATATATCCAATATACACTTCTATATATAATATTAAATTGATATCTAATGTAACTAAATTCTAACTTTTGATATAATCGCAGCTTACAGAACAGCACCATCATGCATTTGTAAATGCCAAAGAACATCCACTGCAATGAATACAATAATAGACAACAATTGCAAGCAACTGCTTTTTGAGGCTTCTTTGGATTTACATACCACACCTCTCTCTCTCTCTCTCTCTCTCTCTAACTATATATATAAACAATAAACAAGTTGATTGCATGTATATTTTTCCATTTGATATGCCTCCTTATTATGTTTGTTCGTTATTGTTGTTACTATCACTTGATGAAACTTGATGTTATTGTTGTTAATGTTACAAAATTGGTGGCACGAGAATCGATTGCCTTAGATGTAGGCGAGGGGCTCCATTTCTGTAGATTAGAAACTGTTTAATCATACACCTTTTGTCACATTTCTTTATTTTTATTCACTAAATACACTATTCTAATATCATTTTCTGATTCATTCACATGATTCACGCATACTTATAAATAAATTTTTTTTTTGGCCTAACTCATGCGACTGCTTCTTTCCTTGCATCGATTTATTTGTTTTATTATTAATTTTGATTTTCTATTTTTCTATTTCATTCAATTTTAGTGGTAGTGATTTTCCCATGACGGACTTTGATACGATGCAGAATTTTGATGTGTATAAACTATAAACCTATTCAGAGCATACGAAATATTTATATATATATATATTTATATATATATATATTTATATATATATATATGCAAATCAAATATATAGAATGTATGTGAAGAAAAAAAAAAAAAAGAAATGTTTAATGAAATCACACAAACAAGTGAATCCTATAAGTGTTTTCGAGAATTTGCCGCTATTAACGACGTCCATTAGATGTTTACTGTAATCAATCAACCAATATATCCTACAATTCACACAAAATCGGGCACATCGACTTTAACTTATCAAACTGTTTAAATCCAAATATAAATTGAACATATTTGGAATGCATCATTGTGGCATGTGTTTTATTTTTGGTATGTATATCATTTATTTGTCGTTATATTTATACACACATACACACACATATACATATATTTCGGTAGCCCGTAAATACACAATAAAATAAGGAGAAGAATTTGTGGTTGTGATCTCCAATGCGTAGAAACACTTGAAGTTACCTTTATAAGCGTATTATACAAGCACACGAACACAAATACACTCGAAACGATAGATGATATTAATAGTCAACAGCTTAAGTGAATGGAAAGTGTTTTATAAAAATTTTATTCGACAATTTTATCAAATGTTTATCGTCTATTCGAATTTATATTGTTGAATGTATTAAAAAAATAAAAATAAAATACATATATATACAAATATCTATTTGGAGTGACGCAAATAAAAAGCTGGTTTCAGTAGTCGGCTATATGTATTGGCCCTCTGATAGACTAGATCAGAAATTGAGTTTGAACTGAGGAACGGATTGTATACGAATTTACACATAGTCAAAATATATTTATATGTATGTTTATCTAGTTGTATGCATAAAAAAAAATTAAACTTTACAAGAATCAAAAAAAAAAAAAAACAAAAATTAAGGAAAGTAAATTTTGAAAAGGAATTTCATCTAAATGTTAAATGGGGCTAAGTGTTTTTGCTAACTGTTTTTCAATTATTAAACATGATTTTATTTATTCTTACAGCATTTGTGAAACGCCAAAAAAACGAATCAACTAAACGACAAGAGCAATGCATGCAAATTGCGGCACTTCAACACACACACACACAAACACACCCACACAACCCACACACACATACGCACACGGTATACCCAGATATTAAGATTTTGAATTTCGCTTAAATATGAATATGCATTTCATGTACCCGATTTGCAAGTGTGTGCGTGTGTGGGTGCTTTAGACACGACTTTGTAAATTTTGTCAAATGTCTGTAATGAAAATGATTTAATTTTAATGGATTGCGTGACGTGAAGAGCACGTGAATTTAGTTAGTTTCCTTTTGTAACTACGTATATTTGTTGAATCTAAATTTGTGAGTTTTATTATAATTTTAAATCGTTTATTTTGTATACGTTTAAGTTATTTAGTTGGGACACAAATGTACCTCAATTGTGCTCATTTTAGTTATACGTTATACATTACGTACGTACGTATTATATACATATTAATATCTGTATATGCATGCATATATATCTACATATATGTCTATATATTGCTTTATGTATAAATCCTTTTTCATTGGCTTCCATGCTGCAAATGCAAACAAATTTCATTTATGTACTATATTTGATATGATTTTCGTTAAGGACAAAGTGTGCATTGCATTAAAAATGCGTTAAAAAAAAAAAAATTAAAAAAAAAAATAATAATAATAAAAATATATAAACAAACTGTTGCTTCTGTCGCCCACGCCAAGGACACAAAAGCATGAGAAACGATAAACAGATGAAACGTAGACGGGACGATAAGGATGAAAATGATATACGAAATAAATACTATTTTTTTGTGTAAACAATTAAGCTTTTAATGTGAAACTGTAAGAATTTTATAATACTTCTAAGTAACCCAACTTAATCAATAAATATATACACACTATATATATACAAACAAACGAAAATATATATATATACAAAGATTTAAAAACCAACGAAGTTAATTACACATTTTTGTGCAGCTGCTAAAGCAAATTTGAATTGAGCAACGACAAACTCTTTATGTGTGTTCGTGTTGAACGTAAAGTTTTCAATTTCAATTAAATGTTTAAATATAAATTACAACTCGCGCACGCATTCCCAGAAATACACACACACACTCACACACACAGACATACACCACACACAGTCACTCTGAAATTGGGAAATATTTTTGAAAATGTGCACATTTATTGATAAAAATGGAGTTATTTTTTTAAGTGTAAGCAATATACGAATTGAAAGAACTAAAGAACTATTCTTGTCAAAATGGCCAATAAAGATTTGATTTTTAACATAATGCAAGAGTGTTTTCGTTTATTGTATTTACTTGGATGTCTAAGAGACTTGAATCGAACTTTGATGAAACTGGTAGGTGACATTCAAGATAACAGATATATATTGACCATGTATATGAGAAGACCTTAAAATTGTCAAAATGTTTAGTTGTACTGAGTTGTAATTTGAAAACATCTTTAAGGTTTCTTTCGCTAAAAATTCTAAAAAAAAGTGCTAAAACAATCCAATTAAAATTGAGATAGTATTTTTTATTGTCCGTAGTCAATTGGTGTGCATCGATGAATCAGTATTGGTAGATATATACATAATATGATATTTATTATGTACTATGTTTATATCTATATATCTATTTATAGTCTGTTATCAATTTTTGTTGGAGCAGCACTTGTCCTTGGGTCCGTTCTTGCAGGCGCATTTGCATTGCTGGCTGCAGGGGCAGCTGTCGCCGCACTTGATGGCCGAGCACTGGCAGTCTGTGGGGGACGATACCGTTATGTTTATTGTAATACTTATCCGACATAGTTTATTTATATGTATGTATGTATGTATGTATGTACTCACTGGTCTCACACGCTTTGCAACCCATTTTCTGTTTGTTTATATCTCTCTGTTTACAAGTGTGTGTTCGACACGATGTTCTCTCTGACTTTGTTGACTCGGCTCGCTGTCGCTGGCTTTTTATAGATTTCGAGGGAATGCGGTATTTTGCGCACCATTTGTGGTGGGATGAACTGTGTGTGTTATCAATCATCAATTAGCAAGTACTAAGCGCACACATAGCCGGCTCATCAGGGCGTGCGCAAAATTGCGTAGCCGACTTGATATCAGCGTATTTAGTTTTGCGCACGATTCACGCATACAGCTGTGCACGGCTTTTTTATTTATTTTTTATTTTTTTTATTGTTGTTGTTTTTTGTGGCTTATCAGCTTAGCGTGGCCGTATAAAATGCGGCGCTCTGAGCGCATTGAACAACAGTAAATCAACAGCAATCATTGTGTTAGCCATTCCATTGTGAAAAAGTGCAAAATAAAAACCAAAGTGAAAATGCCTTGCAAAGGATGCGGAAACAGTGAGTAAAGTGTATTCACTCATCGAGTGATGGTCTCCATTAATGAGCTCGATCCTGCTTCTAGACTGCCAGTGCACGTCCGGCAAATGCGGCAGCAGCTGCGCCGGAAACCAGCAATGCCAATGCGCCGGCAAGACGGCCCCCACCTGCTGCCAGACCAAATGAGCTGAGGTGCGAAGCGGCGCTTCATAGAAATTTCTAGTTCCATACTGAAATCTCCGACTGATTGTTATAAAAGGATGCTTAATAAATTATATATTTAATAGTTAACTGAAACTCAACGTTTTTTGGCTTACGAAGAACACTTTAAATCGAGTTAATGTTACGGTAATTTGATTTTAGCGGAAAGACTTTAGATACACTTCAGATTCACATATAAAGAAGGCATAGAGGCTTTGGTCACTCAAGGGTGCCATTAAAATTTTGATTCCACTAAAAAACTGATTATTTGTGCAAATTGTGGGCAGAAAACTTGTTTAATTTGCAGCCAAGCAATGCACTCAACAATTATGCAGGCACAATGTGTGTCTGCTCAACGAGCTAAAGTATCATCGTTCAGCTGAAGGACGCTCAAGTCGACGCAGTCTGCAGCGGCTGGCAGCGAGTGGGCCTTGGGTGACCAGGCAGCAGGGCAGCGGGACAGCGGGGCAGGTGGCCGGGCGAGTCCTTGTACAATTGCCAACAACTACTATTCATGGCATACAAGTGTGCAAGCAGCTCTTGGGGACGCTGATTGCATGACAGGTTGACTGACATTTAGGGAGGGGGCGGGGCGTGGTGTGTTTCGCTTGCGCTGGCGTTTCGGTTTTGAGGCGAGACGGTAAACACGAATGTATCCAAAAAGTGCATTAAGCGCACTAATTGCAATTGACAATTGCATTACGCCGGCCCAAAATGGTGAGTCAAGGCCTTGTCCTCAAACCCAGCAGCAACATTTTCAATTTCAGCGTTTTTAATAGTGTTAAAGCGTCGGAAATGAAATCGCGCTCTGCAACTTGCTGTTTGCGCAAAGTCATCAAACTTAATTTGTATGGGGGGAAATTCGAGCTCAAATGTTTTTACAGCCATTTCCGGAACGGCTGCTAGTCGAAATGTCTGTGGCACTCGATTTGCTTGCCATTCGCATGACATACGGATATGTGGCAAAAAAAAAAAAAAAAAAAAAGAAACAAATAAATGAGAATGGAAATCCTCTCAGCATTTTGGCAATATCTAAAACTGTAATCGTAGCAGTTGCATTTCTATCTATCTATTTCTAATACCTTAATAAGCACGAGTGATGGAAGACCAAAGGTAAACTACTTAAGCTTTTGCTTCATTCCTGATAAATAAATGTGGAACTTGAATTCAAGTAAGTAGAAAATATTAATAATCTATTCATATATCTTATATCCCTTTTTTTCATATTCATATGTCTTTTTTTTTATATTAATACATAATTTTGAAAATATATGAACTTGGAATAAATAAATAATAAATTTTCTCTTTATCAGGGTATATTTTGGTCGAGTATTTATTTATTTATGTTTTAATTTTTTTTAGCTCCTGTTATTTTTAACTTTTTTTATTGGTATTGGATAGTCAGTGGAAGTTTATTGTCACGGAATTTCAGATTTGTGTTGATAATGTTGGGGAAATAAACGCGAGAAATTCGTTTAGGGTTATTTTTGGCTTGGTTTGGCTTCAGGCCCGCATACAAATGGCAATACCTGAGAATACGGCGTGAGATGCAGCCGTAAGCGGGTCAGGGCGATGGCGATGTTGATTGCGAGTGCGATTCGTTGTTGGGGAAGTTGCGGCTTAAGCCACACGCTGCGTATACGCGATATTGCGAGCCATTTAATTCGCTGTCGCGGCCTTTAAACACAAACGCAAACAGTTAATTACGGCATTAAGTTTTCATGCTGCAGTCAAAAAAGGCGCCACTGGCCGGGACAGCAAAGAAGCGAAACAACTGCAATGCGGGCACTTCGTGAGCGCTTTGTCGCCAGCAGCAGAACGAGAGCCGACAGCACGAACAGGAGCCGGAGCAGGAGCAGGAGCCAGAGCAGGAGTCGGAGAGCTAAAGTCACTGCGAGTGCGAGTTGCGAGTCCATGAAAAGAATGTGACGTCGCATCACTTATGCATAACTTTTCGTTAGCCACTTTAGACTTGGGCACGTTCCAGGGCCATGCAGCTGGGTAAGAGTGGCTTTGGGGTGGCTTCGATGCTTCGATGGCTGGGCTGAGGACTACGTTGGACTCGCTGCTGAACATGTTTATCTTTTGCGTGTGACTTTTGCCTTTTGGCTGGCTCGAGTTTTTCTATTGTTGCGGCCAAGTGTTGAAATCAAACAGTGTTGAGAAGCAAACACACACACACACGCATACATACACACCTTTACACTTGTAGTTGGCAAACAAACGTAAATTAATGAAATGCACAAAAATTCTGCCAAGTCTCCTGCTCTCTGTCTCTCTCTCTCTCTCTCTCTCTTGCCATGAGTCTGCAATGTCGGAATATTCTTAATAATTTATTGCATTTTGTTTGCTAAGCGCTTCAAAACTTGCTGAACTTTTCAACATAAATTAACAGATTAGTTGTTGCCTGCCAACAACAACAACAACAACAACAGCCGCAACAACGAAATATATTTTCAACTTTTCGCAGGTGGCCTTGGGAAAAAATACGCATAGTTCCTTTGGTGTCTGCCACAACAGCTGCTAATTTCCACAGTTGCTACGCTGAGCTGGAAAATAAAGGAAAATTGCGCTTAAATGTTGCCGAACAACTTTTGCCAAACAGCACGCACTGCAAACGCTGTGGGATCCACTCGCCTTTGGCCACTATAAATCTTTGCTATTTTGCCAAATTTGTAAATCTCTTTGGTATCCCGAGTGCAGAGTGAGTCGACGACGTGACTGCTGAAGTTGCAAACATTTTACATTAAAAATGTATATTTTAATTTGTAATTCATGTTACTTGCCCTACCTAATGCACAGAAGTCTTAAAGCTCAGCTGACTTTGGCTTGAAGTGCGAACTATGTGCGAACTATTGTGATTTACTGCCGTTCGATTTCAGCGTTCCCAAATGAGTAATCAGAGCAACATTTTCGCTCGTCATTTAACATTTAACAAAAACTCATTTCGTTTTCGATTTGTCGCTTATTTCCCAAAACACTTTCCGCCACACACACACACACACATAGAGAGAGAGACGAAGCATGTGCCTGATGACTGCGTGAATGTCTTTGGCTTCAGCAAACACATTAAGCGTCACATCCTGGGCGCGTCTCAGCTATCGGCCCGGATGTCCTGCCTAGCCCAGTATTGACTGGCCGCTGACCAACTTTGTTGACAGCAATTTGGAATGCACGACTGCACCGCTGACGTTGCCCAAGGCAAGCCCAGGCCATCAGCACCTAATGACAATAGCTGCATTGTCCAGCAGTTTGTATGAAAAGTACTACGTGTGATAACAGACCTTAGTTGGCTGACATTAAAGTACTAAGTGGGATTATCTATACTTGGTACTCATGAGGCTTAAATCATTCATCTCAGATGCTCATTCGGTTCCTGCTTACAATTTATATGAATTTAAATGAATTGTTGTACACATTAATAGAAATTCAGTCTATACATATGTATGTATGTATATTTAAATGCAAATATATAGAAAAGTCTAAAAACTTGTGTTATAAAATATTTGATATGAGAAATATGGTGTGTATAATAATTTTTGTTATGAGTGCTTAGTAAAAATATTAAACAAAAATAAAATTCACTTCCAAATTGAATTGAAAGTTCCAGCTTTAAAGTCTAGGTGTTAAGTTTTAATAAATAATAATTAATTAAACACATAATCAAGAGTTTAAATCGTATATAGAGTACAGTAAAATGTAATGATTGTTTCCAAAAGCTTTCTTGTGTTTCGCTCAGCTATTTTTACAGGTCATTTGGGCTTTCGGGTGTACGGAGCCCTATCTTTATCCGAGTGCTATTGTCTTCTAACCAGGTAGTCATTAGCTTAACGTTAAATTTTAATGCTGTAACATGTTCAGAGCGAATCAACCTGCCCCCACTGCATGCTTTTTTCTCTCTTCCACTCTCTCTCGCTCTCACTCTCTCTCTCTCTTTCTGTGTGTGTTCATTTTGTTGTATTGTTAATTAGCCGTGCCACGCAAACAGCTGAGGCTAACTGCTGTCGGTTGTCCCGTGCACACGCTCAGCTGTCAGACACCAGATTCTAGAGGCAGGCATTGCCATTACGCTGGCATTGCGCAATGTCTTGTGACGCTTTAGCTATGCAGCTGCGTGAGCTCCACTGGAGCAATGTCCTCCCTGCTCGGCTCATTAGCTAACTGCACACGTGCACAAATCAATTTTGCCACGTCCAATGCGAGTTGCACGCTCGCACTTGAGTGACTTAGTGACGCGCTGCAGACCCTAATCCCAGCAAGAGTGCTCCAGAAACAATCATACGACGCGTTGTCCAAAAGCAATCAAAGCGAATGGCTCTACTGCAAAAATCACACACGCTGCATCCTTGCCCCAAAGCAGCATCAGCTGCAAAGGAAGCATGGCGCGTTGCGGTGGCAGGACGGGGACGTTTTAATAAGCAATGGCTCAATGGAGATGATGCCATAAGTATGCAAGTGCCACATCGCATGTTGTTGCGATTGCTCCAACGCGCTTCCGACTGCATTCCGGATGTGCCCAGCACTGGCAAAGCCAAAGACTAACACAGCTCCTGCTGCCTGCTCTTGATGTTTATCTATTGCAGTGCCTTGGCTTGCACTTGGCAAGCAGCTTCGCACTGATAAGTGCAACATGATGCTCAAATTATATGGTTTCACTTGCCAGCACAGCAAACGAGCCCCATCAGCATTACACAAATACATAAGCGCACATAAGCACAGGAGCGGAACGGGCCCGATGGGGCAAGTTCTTATCAACTTATTAAAGTGCGAGGTCTGTGCATAAAAGAAACTCAAATATAGAGAAAATCTGAGAAAGAGTTTGCTTTACTCTTATAAACATTTCTTCATTTCTTTCTTCATTTTGCTTTGTTAGTGATAATGAAATGATATGAGCTCTAGCCTATCGCGCAGATCTGCATAGGCCACAGCTGTCAGCCCCACTCTGTGGTCGATGGGCACTGATTCGTAGTGGCCGGGCTTCTTCTGGTAGGCCACGAAATTTGTGTAGCTGTGGCGCTGAAACCTGTAGCCCTTGCCCATGCCGGCGAAGAGCTGCTGTTGATAGCTACTCACAGGCGCTGGCTCCGTCTTGAATCCAGGCTTGGGTAGGGGCTGCTTATCGTATGTGTAATGTAAGAGGGCTAAGCACAGGGGCGGCAGCAAGGCTGATTTTCTTTTCCGATCGCGATCAGCGATGATGCAGCTGCTCTGATTTGGGCTTGGATGTGACTCGTAAAAATAAGAGCGCATTACGACGCCGTAAGGTAGTCGCATTTGGAACCGTTCTCGGAAGTTGGTTCGATTGATGGATCCAGACAACTGGCTGTCGATTTTGAAGTGCCCGAGGTGCCAGGGGCTGGCCTGCTGGCAAATGTATTTCCTGTCGTTCAGCCTATGCGGATTGGCAGACAATGCTCGTTTCATGGATTCTTCAGTGATGTAAATTATCATCGCATACTTGTAGTTCTCGGAGCGCTGATGCACGTAGACACGCTTCAGATTGCCAAAGGCGCTGAACAGCTCAAAGACCTGGTGGTGCACAATCTCCATACTCAGATTGCGTATGTACAAAATGTTTTTGTCATCCAAGTCGGAGGACGATATAAGCTGACTTGGTGGGCCATATGTTCGCCTATGAAGATGCCCTGTAAAATAATTGTTGTACAATATTCTCTTAAAAAATTTCGAAATATATATATTATACCAGGCTTGTTCCTCGAGTGCTGAAACGAATCAGCAGTCTTGCTCTTTGCCTTTCCATTATAATCGTAGCGAAAGGTTTTGGGATCGATCGGTGTTGGAAAGCCTTGCGAAGGTCTACGATATGGGTGCGTTGAGGTTGGAGCTTGCGATGATTCTGGTGCTGTGGACTCAGATGGAAGCCCTGGCTGTGGAGGCTCTACAAGAGAGATCTTCTGTAAGTTCTTCTAAATTGTTTTGGTAGAAATAACAGTTACTCACTGGGCGAATACCCCGACTGTTGTGAGCTTGAACAATTCATGGAATACCGTCTCTGCATTCGATTGGCATCGTTTTGATGGCGCTGATCCTTATACTGGGTGGGCGTCAAGTACTGCGGTGGTCCTCGATAGGGCTGTGCTCTTTGCTCATTTGCTTGTGTTTTAGGCTCAAGCGCATTAGGCTCCAAGGACAACCGTCGAGCACCTGCAATTTGCTAGTGATAATCAATTTTAGACATATTTAGGGCATGCACTCACCGATATTGCTGGGAGTGCTTGGAGTGCTTGGAGCTGTGATCGGTGCCTTCCACGAGAACTGTGATGGTTTGGTATATAAATTATTTAATGATAAACGCCTTGTGCCTTGAGCCTTTGCTTGTTTAATGTCGACTAGAAAGTCTTGGTTTAGTACCAAATTGCACAAATTTGTAATTTTAAAATATACCTTCTTTAGTGCTTGGATTTGGCTCAGTTGAAACAGCCTTGGGCTCAATTTTTTGGTTTTGAATAACATCACTGGGACTTTGAGTTGGAGTCTTCGGCAACTGCGAAAATCTGCGATATGAAAGTCTTGCTGGTGGGCCCATTATTGGCAGATCTGTCGATGTCTTCGCTACGGCAGGAGTAGGAGTAGGAGCAGGAGCAGGACCAGGAGTAGGGGTCGGAGCAAGAGCCGGAGCAGGAATAGGAGTAGGAATAGAAGCGGGATTAGGAGCTGTAGAGGGAGCAGGAGTAGCAGCAGAAGTAGTAGCAGTAGCAGCAGCAGTAGTAGGAGCAGTAGCAGCAGCAGAAGTAGAAGCAGTAGCAGGAGCAGTGGTTGGAACAGTAGCAGGAGCAGTAGTAGGTGCAGTAGCAGCAGCAGGAGTAATAGCAGCAGCAGGAGCAGTAGTAGGAGCAGTAGCAGCAGCAGGAGTAGGTGCAGTAGCAGCAGCAGGAGTAGGAGCCGTAGCAGGAGCCGGAGCCGGAATATCTTTAGATTCCCCTAATATCTTTTGCTTATTTTCATTTGCTAATTTCTCGGTTGCTAACATCTTCGTTAGTTGCAGCGATCTGCGATATGTACTTCGAGGTGGTGGAGGCTTTGGTATTTCTATTTTCGGGTACCTTGGCGCTTGGCTACCTGAAGGTAATGAATTGATAAGAATTGATCATCGGATAATATTAGATAGGAGAACTTACTCTCTGCTTTCTGCTTCTCCTTCTGCTCCTCATTATAAAAAGTCCTTTTGGGCGTAGAAGACTCATTTTGGACTGGTGTGACTGGAGTGATAAGAATTGATCATCGAATAATATTAGATTGGAGTACTTACTCTCTGCTTTCTGCTTCTCCTTCTGCTCCTCATTGTAAAAAGTCTTTTTGGGCGTAGAAGACTCATTTTGGACTGCTGTGAGTGGAGTGCTCCGGTTTTCCTTTGGCTTTGCGAGATGTGAAGTTCTGGGACGCCCACGACGTTTTGGTTGTGACAATCCCGTGGTTTTAGTTGCAGATGGTTGTTGAGATGTCAAGACTTAAAGGGACTTAAACATATTTGATTGTGGATGTAGATAGCTCTACTTACCTTCCTGTTTCTTTTCTTGCTTCACAGTGGATACATCTATGGTTCCACGCCTTTTTTTTGCAGGCACTATTGTCTCAGGCAATTCAGCCAGATATTGCGTTTTTCTGCGATTCGGCTGAACTGGTTCTGCAACTAATTTATTTTTTTTATTACAGCCTAACCCTTGAATGGATGTCCAGCACTTACCGGCTTTTTCCACTGCCTTCGGAGCGGCAGTATTAATTAATTTGGCTTTTTTCTTTTCGACTATATCCTCACAAATGGTGTTCGCGCGAGCTCTCTTAAGCGTTGGTTTTTTGTCCATTTTGGTTATGTATTTTCGATGGGCAGAAATTGATATTTTTTCGAGAGACAGCAAAGTCAAGAGCTACTAGACTGATTTGTCAAATTTGAACAATGTCGTATTAACTGACGTTTGTCATCGTTTGCAAAGTCTGAAATGTGATTTCATCGGCTTTCGTGAGTATTTATTCGTGACTCTCTGCGTGACTTCGCTCCTGTGCGCACCACCACATGCAAACGCATTGCACATTGTTGCACAGACTATTAAACCTGCTGACGACGATGATGAAAATGCGTTTTTAATGCAGCGCAAATGTGGCAACTGTTTCTGCATGCCATCATATGTGGGCACACATTTACATACATAGATTCTTGCTTGCACTTAACCAACATTTTATGCAAATTACGTGCCAAAAACTTGAGCAGCTTCCGTTTTCAAAATTCAGCCTTATTTCTTAAGTGTCTAATTTTTGTTTTTTCGTTTTTCTTTTTTAGAGACTTTAGAAATTCCATAGGCCAAAATGTGAGTCATATTGAAAGTGTCGGCATCGCTCGATGGCCCTAAATTTGTACGTTTGAACGCTAAACAACCCTCAATGGCACCAAATTGAATTAGTTGTAGGTTCACTTATGTGGCTGGCGAGCATAACGTGACTTGGGTGCAAAATTTAGCCAAATAATGCGAAAAGTCAACGCTGGCCAGCTGTTGATTAAGTGCCCAACCAGCTTGTGAGATAATCGAATTGCAGCATTCAATATAGCCAAGAAGAAGCCATAAATAATCACTTAATAAATAGCAGAACGACCATTGGCACATATAAATAAAAGTGAGATGATTAAGATTTGAGCATATTTTGCTTGAAAATTAAATAAAATATACTTTAAAAAGTTTACTTTTAGCTAAAATTACCATAAATAATAAAAGGAAACATATGCAATTTTAGAGCAGCACAAGACGGCTTAAAGGTTGCGGCTTTAGTTGTAATTAGAAACCGAACTACACTATGAACTCTATTCAGCTTCTCTTGTCTGCCAGGTTGTCTTTATTGACTTGGTTAGTCGTAAAGAATAGTTGATTCGGAGCCGACGAATGGATTCACGTATCACAAACATGCCAGCTAACGGAGCCAACTAGTCACACATGCAGATGCATGTGTGCATGTACTTCTCTATATATCTCAAATTTGTTCTGTCTGCCCATTTGCATGCCGTGCAGTTCGTGTGGGATGATATCATGTCATCGTTAAAGAAATCGAATACTTTTTGTGTACCGCAAATAGACAATGGCAGCGAGCTCTGTCTGCCTGGGTTTAATCAGGCACTTGGGCTGCTGCCTCTACAGGACACGTACACGGATGCAGCGCAGTGAAACAAAGCGAAAATCTTGCAATTTGTCGTCTAAACAATAAACCAAATCCTCGTAGCAGGCAGGAAAAACCAAATCAGCAAAAAAGCGAGCAACGACAACGTGCAGAAATCAAAAAGCCAGTCCAAGTCATTCCTCTCTCTCTCTATATCTCTTTAACTCTCTCTCTCTCTCTTTCTTTCACTGCCTTCATCTCTGTGGTGTAGCCAAATAGACAAACGCAACCCTCATGCCAGATGGCTAAGCACAATTTAGAGGGCCAAATATACTTTGGACCCTAAAGTTCTTTAATTTTGCAATCTCTGGTTGAGTCTCAGGAATGATTCAGTATTTATAATGGATGGAATTTCCTCACTCTTTAATATTTTCTAGAAATCTTAGCTACAACTATGAGTTACTCTCTAATATGGCCCTGTCAGGATACTTGATTTGGTATGTAAAGTGGCTTATTTTATTGTACAAAGCAAGAGGTGTATAGCTTCTAAGCCAACATATTCTTATGTTAGAATTATTTTATATATTACTTAGTCTATAAACTTTATATGCTTAACATAAAAAATGTAAAAAGGCATTCCATAGTAGCAGCAGCAGACAAGCACTATAAGGCACATTCTTTATTTTTATTTGTCCTATTTTTTTTTTATTTATCTTTTTTTTTTTTTATATATGTATATATATAGTGTACTCTACATATCCCCGATGATATATAAAGTGCAATATTTCGGTGACGGGCGAACCGTGAATGTAAACTTTTTTGGCGACTTCTCGGGGGCATCGTAAGGCCAACGCAGTGCTGTTCGTTTGATAAGCCACGACTTGTGCTATTTTTTATAGCGATGCCGCTGTGCGGGCATTAAAACATGCAATTTCCATGCATTCATGCAAATGGCTTTCAGTCTATCATATGTATGCATTTCTCTCAAATATTCATTTGCTGAAAGGAAACGCTTGTTTCAAGTCCAAATTCAGTTGCCTGTGCACTTGAATGTTTTATGTTGTTGAGCTGCTCCAGTATAAAAATTATCAAGACTAACGAAAGTATGTCAACATGCAATCAGAGGCTGCCAGGCGGCAATCAGGTGTCGCCTCTGGCTGAGTCTCTTTGGCAGCTGCGATAACTTAATTAAAAGTGAACTGTTTTAAGCCAATCAAAGGCCACGTATATATGTGGACTGGATCTTATTAGCTGGCAGGCAACTTCAATTCGGATTTACACTCTACTCGATTGCTGGTGAGTCAGGCCAACAACCCGCACACACACACACACACATACACACACACACACCGGCCCAGTGCCGGCGCCAGGGTAAATGTGGACTACGTGTCGGTTTCAATGAAATGAAAATATAAAATATGCATTTACTGCAGTCCGCCTCCAGTTACAGATAGTTGCCACCGGCTGCTGCTGCTGCTACTGTTGCTGCTGTTGCCCGGATAAGTATGCTACGGGCAACGTGCTCTGCGCCGGGGAATTGTGTCGAATGTCATGTGCTGCGCCCCGCATTCAAATGCCAGCTGCACAGAGTCTACCCAAAACTGCGATCCTTACCAGAGCCAGACAGCCAACGGAAACGGAAGCAGCATTGTTCGGCTGCCGAGCAGCACACTCCATAATAAATGTAACGAGCGTATTACAAACACTTACGTATGGCAAGTTTAAAGTGCAGCCATCACTCGCATAAGCCCCAGCATAACTACTTCAACATACATATCTCTATATATGTATATACGCATATGTGTATATACCCTACAGCATTAGATTATATATAGCTATTTGAAATTATCAAACACCAGCTGTTCAAATATGTATAGCTAGTTGTATCCAGCATTGATTTGTCCTTCTGCTATTTGCGTAACCAAATATCTGATTAAATATGGACACTGCCGTCTGGCTTAGTCTATTATTGTATTTTATACTTGGCTCAGCTTTATTTCGAATTTTAAGCTATTGAATACCTTATGAATATTCTGGGACAAGGACACAATGAGACATAGCTCAAATGGAAAGGAATTCATAATATAAAATACAAAATAGTTAATAGTTATTTTCATATTGAGTAATTCAATATAAACTCTTAAGAAATAATTTAGGATTCTGGCAAATTCACAGGGCAACTGCTCGTCGAGCAGACTTTGCAAAGAGCTTTATGAGTCGCCTTAGTTGCTTTATATCCAACTGGAGTACTTTTGCCAACTGCCACATGCTCGTACATAATTGCTGAATCAGTCGCAAAATAAAATGGACATCAAGACAGCGACTAAATCAAATGTGAGCCAAGTGAAAACTTGGCCCAACTTTGATGCAAGTATTGTGTGCGAGTGAGAGGGGCGCAAGTGCGAGCTGGACAGAAAGGGGGTTAGGTTGGGTGGTTGGCGGGCTGGTGGGTGGTGCTTGGTCGCATGCACTTGAAGTGCTAAAAACTTTGCTGCGCTACGTTAGCAAAAACTTTTGCTAGCTAGTTGTAGCATGAAAAGCAAAAGTTTGCCGTCAAAGCGAAAGTTAAAGCCAGCGCCTGCAACAACAAAGCAAATCCGAATAAAAAACTGACAAATATATATGTATATAC